CCCCCCCCCCCCCTTGCTGCATCCGCCCCTGGAGAACAAGAGGTAAAGGGGCACAAAGGCACCCGGGGGTAATTGCAGCGAAGGCACAAGGACCTGAAGCAGTATAGTATGCAAATCGTCAATTTTATATCATCACTCTTTGATGCAAAGTGATATGGTGTGATTTGGTACATTAGGGGGTTTGCTAGAATCTTCCTTTTCCTCCACCACCAATCAGTGCTGGCTCAAAAAATTCGCCGACAGGGGATCTGCATTTGAAACAAACTGACTATAGCCTCGGTCAGGGTCCTGAAATAACAATTCCTGGTAGGGCTCATGTACAGTTTTTTATGGCTTACTGTAAATGCTCGAATTACAAACTTTTTGAGGCTTCCGTGCGGCGTTTATTCGAGAGCGGCGCTTATAAAAAAAATATTGACGTGGCGCTTTCCATGCCCGTTCCCATGTTTCCTATTTCATGTATTCTCGTAGGCATATAATAGGTAATAGGCCTACAGTATCATCGTAAACAAAGAAATGCTTGTCTTCATTGTGCGATATATTGATTTTAACACTGTATACATTGCACTTAAAACCCGTTTCATTACACACAAGTATATTATATACTTTCGATTAAGCGCCGCTGCGCCTATTCGAGAGCGGCGATTAACGAAAAAATCAAGTTTGGTGCAACGTTTATTAGAGAGCGGCGTTTATTTAAGCATTTACGGTAGTATGACCCAAAATTGATTTCAGACCACATTAAAAGGATTGGCAATCAAATGTTATTTGGATAGGCAAATTAATATTTTTGGTCCAGTGACCTCATGTGGTGTCAAATGATGGGGCCTAGTCCTGTCCAATAGGTGTGGGGGGAATTTCCCATTCTCTTTGATGCTACCACTTCCCCCAATTAGGGCCAGGCCCAGGATTTTTCAATCTCAGCTTAGCAAATGTTAAAATGTCCCTAAGCAAATATCTTAAGCTGATCTATTAACCCATCTTAGTAAAATCTTATCTTAAAAATCGTCTTAGATGGCGCGTGCATACGATTAACTTTCATTTTAAGCAATTTTTAAGCTAAGCAATATTGATAAATCTGACTTAAGCAAGAAAATAGACTTAAGACGAATTTAAGCTGATTTCTAGTTTGATAAATCCGATCCTTAGCCATTCGTTGTGAAACTGGCTATAAATACTACATATGCATTAAGGCATAATGAATTAAAATGGCAAAAACAGCCTCTATCAAAGTCGATATATGGTGTGTGCTTTTGTGCGCATGTGAGTTTGTGGGTGTGGCTGTTTGGTAAACAAAGTACAAATTCAATGCTGGTAAATAATAACTCAGTATAAAATATTTCATTTTATTTTGCTAACATTTTAAAATATAAATCGATCTATTAATACAAGAGACAAAAATAATAGAACATTCATATCCCCTGCATTAGCCTTCCCCTCCTCACTATATACAAAACACAGCCATTATATGAATCCAAAAACTTGTAGAATTTGAACCCAGGACGCTAGAATTAAAAGCAAGCACCTAAAAGACATAACGTCTGTGTTGATTCAACAATAAAATCCAAATTTGAAGAAATTATATATTTAGTATAAGTTTAATATAAGATTATTAAGAAAAAGATTTTATTTTGTCGCGTAACAGATGAATAATACTGTTATTGTTTGCATAGTATCCTTGGTTTTGGTTGAAGTACAGTAAATTAACAGATTTTTGTTGGAAAACATTTAAAAGGAAATTGTATTTATTTGAGCATCCTTGGGAGTTAGTAACGTTGAGGGGTTATTCCTGATGTAAGACTTTGTATCTTTCTTTACAAAAATCTCTACATATTTAACTGGCATACTGATGCTAAAACGAAGTTTATAATTCATGATCATCATACTCCCCCATCTCCTATCTTAAAACTTATTACTATTTCATAATTCTGGTGAAAAATGCATGATTATTATACATATAATGTTCATAGGTGCCAGTGATCACTTTGAATTTGAGCGTGTGCTTCTTCTAACAGACTGTTTTGATGATGTTAGTGACTTGTTGTGTCGCTGTGATTTCCTCAACTGTGGATGATCATCCATACATAGTGGATCATCTGGAGGTTCGTTGAACTTTTTGTTGGTAGCTGACTTGGATGAGGACCTGATGTTCCACTTCCTTGGTTTTGGAGCCCTGACATAAAAAAAAAAACAGAAGTTAAAATGTTTCCCTTAGAATTTTAGCCCTTTAAAGAGAACATACTGAGGTTAGCTAGATGTCTTTGTACTAACTAAAAGCTACATGAATTCAGTCGCTAATATTGTTTGGAGTTGTTTGTTGCAATCATGTTGACAAGAATTTTTTGTTATACCTTGTTTAGCAAACCTGCCGCCCGCATATAATGATGATTTCGAATAAAAACAACATTTTATTTTTGGCAAATTAGTGCACACACTGCCACGAAAAAATACAAATTTCAGAAAGTTTTTTTTTAATTTTTATTACGCCTGCCGCTTGATATCACCAAAAATAAGATATGTATATTTCTTCCTAATTATATAAATTTAAAGCATTAACCATCCCATTACTACACTGTTTACATTCACCAATAAAATTTTTATTTTTTCCTCCATCTGGATGTTCTTGGCAAAACTATTTGCTGAATAAGAAAACAAAATTTTATTTTTATTTTTTTCCCGATCTCCTCTGACAATCTTTAAAAAAAGAAGTTCGTGAAACAATGTATAAAAAGTCTTACTTTAGAATTGTTTCTTTGATTATCCATTTTTTTGGTTTTGCAATATTAGCTGAAGTTAATTTGTGTTGGGCTATATCTGTTGTTAGATTCCATAGTCACTGGGACCTGTTTGTGGAGTTTGTTCTGGCTGTGAATATAGAAGTTTTACTTACGGTTGTTCTGGTGAAAACATAACAAGGATGTCATTTGGTGTTACATCATTTTTATCCGACTCAAGCTGTGGAGTCCAGCTTGGCATTCCAGGTACTGTTGAGACAAGACATATCAATCAATCATTTTTAAGGCACAACAGTTGTTGTTTTTTTGGGTTCACTATCATGAAAAGTTGATTACTGTATTCACCAGAACTTGTACAATACACCCAAATGAACTGTGATAGTCTGCAAAAGGGCTTTAATAAAATCTGATTCATAAATCTTTCATATTACTATACAGAGATACTCTACCTGTCTTAGGGTCGATGTCAGCATACACTCTTATTGGCATAGATGTCGGAATGGGGGATGATGGGATAGCACTGACGTCCATAGGTTCCATAAATGTAATGGACGCTATACTCTTATCCGGGGTACTGATGGCCCTGTTAGTCTTCTTCTTAACATCTTGGCTTGGGGTCTAGTTAGAGGGAGGGAGAGAAGTCAAGTCGTTAACAGGTTAGTGTATTTTTATATTCTTATACACATCAATGGACTAAATCCCGCACCAAGGTCCCACAAAACGACAGCGTAAACATGTGCGCTTGTGGAACACATTATGGGACAGGAGCGTATTCCTGGCCCTGTTGTGATTGGCAGCTTAAAATTTAAGCTTGACTGACACTCCGAAGGATACCGTCAGAACGGTAACACAAATCAAACACTGAAATAAATAAAATTAAAATTATATCTTAATAATATTTACCACCTGATTATTATACTGTAATATAATTTTCACCCCCTTAAACTTAATTCCTCCTTCAAAACAATTATGGTAATAGCATATCTACATTTCCTTACCAAAAATTTAAACTACAATGATTAAACATAAGGGTTCTACTAACTTTATTTGCTATTCTCCTGCTTCTTAAAACTTCTTTGGTTGCTGCATCTGGATTTTCGATTAGAGGAGTAACCGTTTCCATCCTGTTTGCTACAATTTGCTTTAATCCTGTATCCCCATTCTTCTTGCCACAGGTTACAGTGGGCGCACTTGTAGCAGTCTCTGTTGCCGTCTCCATAGCAATTTCACCGTTATTTGTTTGTTCAGTTTGTTTCGTTTTTGCAACAGACGCCAACATTTTCTTCGCAGAGTTGACAATCGCCATAACAGCCAGTGAATTAGGACTGAAATTAAAGATAACATGTCTGATAAAACAAATTGACTGATTAAGATGTTATCTTCACATGATATGACAATAATTTTAGTTTGGGACCTCTCTGAAAATAAACTGTGTTAGGATTTAGAGGGTTATCTTATGTATTGCCAACAGTTGACTCTTTACTTTCTATGTTTTTTTGTCTCTATTTTATTCATGTTTACGTTATACAAAAAATATTTTCAAGTCCATTTTATATATTTCCAAACAATTACAGAATGGTAATGCACGTTCATTCAACCAATAACATAATGACATAAAATATATTGCCCAAGGAAACAAAATTCAAATGGATGACTGCATCTAGTTTCTGGAGATCGTGGGTTCGAGTCCCACTCGAGAACAACTTGCGATTTTTTTCGCAATTGTTTTCAAACGTACTGAGTATTCAGTAAATTTCCACATCAGGTAGGGCAAAATTACACCTATACATGTTTCTCCTGACGCAAATCCAGTTATTGTCTATCACGACAATAACAATTACTGCATCTAGTTTGTCTATTGTTATTTGATCAACCAATATTCACAAAGAATAAGCTGTTTCTTACATTGGAGTTTTAGGAGGAACGGGTAGATCTGCATGCTGCGAGCTAAGTCTACTCAATGGTTTAAGATTGACTTTTGGTGTAAAATTCGCCACCATCTTGGGTGTAAGTGGCACCTGAACCTGCATAGATCCTAAACTCTGAAATAATAAAGAGCCGACATGTTATGGTGCATTATCTGTCCTGAGCCAATAAATGCAATACAATAATAAAGCAAAATTTTAACTTTAAATTAAGAATTAGTATAATATAATATTTTTCTCACCAAATAATAGATGGAAATGACAATTGACAATAGCATTCGACATACCTAAATATGGTCATGATGACATCACATCATGGACCACATATAGGCACATCATGACTATATTTGGGCATACAACAGTTTCTTTGTCAATGAAAATTTGAAAGTGTGGACAGAGCTTAAGCAATTTCATTTATATATATTTATATTGTTGTAGAACTGTTTTAATTGTTAATAAACCAAACACAATTGATGTTAACTTACTGTGATCTTTCGTTGATTATATATATATACATATTTATATATATATATATATATATACAATTTGATATATATATATTTATTGACTATTAAATTGGCTGATAATCAATTATGATTTAGTTAAGAAATTGCCATTGTATTGCCAAATAAATTTTAAAGTTAAGTAAGACTTCAAAGAAACTCTTCATGTTTTCCATGAACTGAGTTTTAATTACTATTTTACATATATTCTACTTCACATTTCAGTTTTTTTTTTAAATCAAATTTGTCTTAAAATTGAAAAATTATTACTATTCAGTAATGTATTACACTGAAAGGGAAACAACAAAGTGAAAGGTAGCAAAAGGTACCTTAGGTGTACCAGGTGCGGGCTGATTCCGTACAGGTGAGTTGACATCCTCCACTGACTGAGGTGATGCGATACCGTTTGGACGCGGTGAACCAACAGGTAATGACAGGTTCAGATTGATGGCCTGATGGCAAAGATCCTCTTCCTGTTTTTTCATCTCTTCCTGTTTCTTCATCTCTTCCTGTTGCTCCTCAAATTTGCGAAGGTCAAACTCAATTTCACTGGCCAGCTGGCGGTCAGCAGACATAATATCTGCCAAGCAATAAAACAACAACATAAAATTAAGTTTTAAAAAATTAATAAATACTGTATCTACAATATCCATTGATCCGAATATCCACAGTTATTTAAAAAAATTGATTTACCTTATACCCTTTAAAAATTAACAATAAACATAATGTTGTCAAAATAACAACAAACTTTTTGTTTTGTAAAATAGCACAAGACTAGAAATTGCAAATTGCAAGTGAAGTGCTGCGAAGTACAAC